TTTCTCCTTCTTTTCTTATGTGGGGGTACATGAAGGGCTGTTATGAAGCACAGCATTCTGGAAGTATCAGATATGCCAGCCTACAGACTGGGTGAAAAATATAGTATTATTTAAAATGCTACATGTAGAATAATTTGTTTCTGGACCTGAGATAAACTAAGGCAGTGATTCTCACCTTTCCTAATTATGTGACACCTTAATACAGTTCCTCAAGCTGTGGTGATCCTCCACCACAAAATTACTTTGTTGCTACATCATAACTGTAATTTTGCTACTGTTATCAATCATAATGAAAATATCTGATATGGAGGTTATTGATATGTGACCCCTGTCAAAGGGTCATTCAAAAATGTTTAGGACACAGAGGTTGAGAATACTATCTATTTTAAGTACACTGGTATTCTTTTCCTTCCACTAAAGAAGCAGACATACCAAGGATGCTATGAAATATAAAATTTGAGTGTAGTTAATGCTGTTTGACTGACTTTGCTATGCTTGCTTGTTTATTGCATGTACTTAAATATATCATTTAACTTGGACTCTTAATACTCAAGTGGACACACTTTTATGTATCTGTACACTTATATACCTTCTATCCTTTATTAATAGGGGATACTGTAAGTAAGTATCAAATTTTTATTATAGTTTTAAAATGTGAAGTGTGTGGAAAAGTGAAAGGATGTAAGCTTTGGCACTAAGCAGAGCTAAACCCGAGTCTCTTGATTATGAGCTATGTGTCTTTGGGCTAATTACATAATCTCTGCAGTCACTTCACTGATGCGAGTCGATCTCATGGCACTTGATGGGATGATTATAGCAGCATTTACAGTCTTGAATGCAGTATCACTGAACTGAATGAATGTGTTTAGCAGAGATGGACATGGTGCTTGGATCCCCTGTGGAACCTCTCAAAGCCAAGTTAAGAAGTACGTGTAATGTAAGTTATCTGATATAATAAAGCCTTTATACTTCTGAAAACTACTTCAGTATGGTATTCACAGTAAGGTACTTATAGATTAACATACGTTGCTGAAGGCAAGCAGAATGGACTTTAGGAGGTTTTCATGCTACTAAAACCAGTGGTCCTCTCATAACAGAGTTTTGTGATTCAGTATCTTCACTTTGGCATACTGAACTCTTGAAAAATACATAAACATATGGAAATCTAATAGCTATATCACAGAGGACTACTTTCCCCTTAGTAGGGGAAATATATATAACCTAGTGCAACCACTCTTTCACCTGTTAAGTTTGATAATTTATTATATTTAGCTGATAAGTTAGTAGTGAATATGAACTGTATGCCTATTCCCCCACCACAGTCACTTCAAGTATTTTATCCTGAAATATTTTAAGAGTGTTTAAATTGGTTGCCCTTACAGGGTCATTCATTTTCCATGTTGCTGTCAAAACTAATAACAGCATTCTCTAAACTAAACACCATCAATGCCTCCCTATGACCTAAAGGATAGCTACCAAATTATAAAGTATATAAGGCTTGTCAAAATATGGCACCAATTTGTTCTTGCTCATCTGGGTCATTATATATGTTTTTTATCCCATTCAGCCACAGACAAATTATATACCAGCTACAATGATTCAAGGTTCTGCAGTACTTGACACATACCATTTCTCCATATGGAAAATGCTTTGTAATTTCCCATGTGAAAAGGCCAGTAGAGCCACTCTGAATGTAGAGCTATGCATTTTCCATTTCTACAACCAGACCTTTATCTGCAAACTAGATTTGGAGACAGGGATTTATTCATCTTCATAATTCCAAAGTTTAGTATAATGCATCTCAGAAAGTGACTGTGGAATGGGTGAATAAATGATTTGGAGGGATTCCAAAAAAACAAAAATAAAAATCATTTGATGAAACAATGAACATGTAATTTAAAATAAACTGACAGAATAATTCAAGATCAATATAACATTTTATTTTACTGAATTATACTGTTGTTTTATACAATGTTACTTTATAAAACAATATCGTTATATCCACACTGTATAACATATGCTTAGGTGAATGTGAGTGAGATTGTGTGTGTGCATGTATGCATATATTCATTTGTGGTGTGTGTGTGTATGTGTGTGCAGATAAATTAGAGATACACATGGCTAAGTGAGATTAAAATTTAAAATTTCAAGGCCAGCATGCTGATTAACATATTTTGAATTCTTTATTCTTTTTAAATACTATGTAATTCAAGCAATGTGAGTTCATAAAGGAGTCTTGATAGGAGGTTGCAGAAAAAGTCAAGAGGGCATGTGCCTTGGCCATATTCTGTGTCTTGTTGAAAGCACAGAAATTAGAAGCCCTTAGAGGTTCATGAACAGGATAAACAACAAAAAATATTTTGTGGGAATGCACTGCAATTGATAGAGTGCTTGCTTATATGCATGAATACCTGGGCATCCACAGCATATGAACCCAGCGTATTGACTTGTCTGTAATTTGGAGATAGAGACATCAACATATGAAGTTCAAGGTAATCCATCACTACCTAGTTAGTTTGAGTCCAAATTCAGATACGTGAGTGTGACTCTATCTCAAAAAAATAATCGTGTACAAATAAAGAATGCTTCACTTACAGAATTACTATATAGTTAAGACTGATTAAACCTTGAGGAGCAAAACTCCTTAAAACATTGAGTTTCATTAAAGGTTAATTTTCCTCATTACTAAAACTTTGTGTATAAGAGAAAGTGGTTCTGAAACTTTTGTTACTCATCTGTGACATATGTTTGTTAGACTAACATTCTTGCCTGATGAGCTTGGCTTCCTATTCTAACAGCATAAATAAGTGAGAATAATAACAATCATAAGAATAAGAGGAAAATGCAGTTAGAGAAATATGTCGTTCAAATTCATAAAGCACTATCATTTTTTTTCAAATATGGAACTCCTTCCTGTGCCTAGGGCAATCAAAGTCATTTTTACCAATACAGTACATGAAACCTTTCCACTGGCTGTGCAGTCGGCATAACTCAGGTAATATTAGGATATACCAGGTAATTATTATTCTATACCCTGGTATTGGCAGCCATGTCACTCAAAATAAAAAAAGAATGCCTCAGTAGTCTTTCTGGCAGGTTCCTTAGCAGAATATATTTCTCGAGATATTTTTTTGTCTTCACTTCTTTCCCTACTTGTGACTCACACTATATATAAATCATTTTAAAACTTAGTAACACCCTGATAAAATAATCAGTTAAATATTTCATTGTTTTAAATTATGATGCCAGATCTGCTTTGTGTCTCTACCAACAGTCATCACCAGTTTCATGAGTGCAAGATACCATCCAAATGAGCATTTGATTTCATATTAAATATGTCAGAGGAGTAGTCAGCAACATACATCATATATTTTAAAATACATACAGAGGATATAGTCAACATTTTCTAATAGTTCTGGTATTTTAACTATAAATATTTAATGCTCAAATGTCCACAACTCAGTTTAAGGACCTGCAAACATTTTATACTGCAATATATTTTCAATATATAACAACAAATTAAATACTCTTGTGTGTTTTACTATACAGTAAATTTTATCAAGGATTAATATACTTACAGAAGTCTAGTACATTTTATAGATGTAAAAACGTAGGCTCAGCATTTATAGAGACAGATAAAACTTTGGCTATGTCAACCTATGACTACACAGAACATTTGCTTTTAGACTTCCGGGTAGAAAGCATAATTGTGATTTGGTGGTGTTGTGATCAAAGTTTCAACTTGCACATTAAGTGATTGTCTAGTCTAATTGAATGCTGGTGTGGTTTCTTAATGTTCATAGTTAGTTGTCAACACCTGTTTTACATATGCTTCCCTAATCACTGCATTCTGGTATGGGAGCAGCTCTGACAACTCAGCAATGCTTGTTAGAAAATTGAAATGCTTTAAACATCAGCATAGAGGGTATCGGGCAAAATTAGTGGTTCTAAGGCTTTGGGATGTTTTATATCTTTTCATTGATTATCCTGGCTCTGGACTTCTGAGGCCATCATGCTGGCACACAGTTTCAGAGTTTCCCCTGACAAGTAAGAAAAATCTTCCCTTCCTTCCTTCCTGTTTCTCTTTTTCTTTTGTTCTTTAATTCTGTTCTAAGCTTAAAGACAAAGGAGAAATCACTCTAAATCATATCACACCAAGGGAACAGGTTCTCTGCACTGAGTGTATTTGAGAAGATATTAGGAAATCAAAATATCAAATACCCAAAGCAATGTTCATTCATGAAAAATCAGTAAAATTTTAGTTTCCTTCTTTACTCAGTGAGAAAAACATACTGCATGGATTTCCAACGTTTTGAGAGTTCACGTCAGTTCTTTGTAGCTTGCTGTATCTGTGACATGTTTTTCCATATTTCTCTCCTTTACTTAAGCTTTACCTCTCAAATGCGTCTTTTTAATATTTCATCTTCATTATCATTCTCACAATTTCTCTTTATATCAAATTCACTTATAAATGGGATGCAATTTGAAACTAACATATTATAGAAATTAAAAACTATGATGTATTGAATTTTATATTTTGAATTATAAATAAATATAAATTTATATTTATATACTTCCTCAATTTTATTCTGATGTGGGAGCTGTTTACTGCTGCTGATGTAGTTTATGACTGTACATTTAAGCATGTGCTAATATTGCCTTCTAGCATTACTTAACAGTTCATAGAAATAATTTCCTTAATTTCAACTTTTAAAAAAACCTTGACATAGTACAATAAAAAACTAATTTTCCAATCAAGTATTTTTCTATTCCAATTCAGTTAGGACACATGCATATGTTTATTTTTAAAAAATCATCCGCTTGTATATTTTAAAAGTACAATTAAAGCAAACTGGCAATTTCAAAATAATACATATATATACACAGATGTATATGTATATATATATTATGAGCTTAAAGTAATAACTTATTTCATAAATTATTTAAATTACTATTCTCCGCACTTGTAAATACCGACTTGTCTATAAAGCTAGACCAACCTCTGTGTCTATGAGATCCATCCATGTTGCTAAATTCAATGTGATTTTCATCAGCCCAGTAGAGTCTATGGTTGACATAATCTATTGTTAGTGCCATAGGTCTTGAAATCTTGGTTTCTATGACAACACTCTGATTGGTACCATCCATTCCGACACGGCCAATGTGAGGATACTCACAGCAGTCAATCCAGTACAAATACCTAGGAAAGAAAATCAATAGCCATTTCGTTGACAGGAGCTGCTGTAGTAAAACATCACACGATATTTTACTTTTTTGTTTCACTGTTTCCAATTTAATTCTTGGTGTATCTCTGAACTGAGGATCTCCTGAAGACTTCAGTGAGAACTTTTCTTATATTTTTGTTTGTTTCCCAAAACAAAAAACTGAGATATTCATTTAACATTCATCATGTTCTTGGTAATATACAAAATCATAGATTATGAGCTTATTTTATACCTGAAAACTCACCGATGCATAAAATTAATGAACATAAAATTGTGACAGTTATCTCTGCTCTTACAAGAATAAAACAACCAATTATTGTGTCATTCATCTATCTATCATTATCTATCTACTTAAATCTGTCTTCTCTAAGTTTTGGGTTTTTACCCATTTAAACTGTTCTAATCACGTAAATGGTTTCAATAAACATCATCATTGATTACCACCTTACAAGTATAAATAAATATTCTTATTTACATGATGAAAATAAGAAAATTTTAATTAAGTGCACTGCGTTTATAGAAGTAGTCACATCTTAAGCCTATAAGAGCCACCTATATCTTTTGGGCACCATATCTAATGAAACGTGAGGAGTATGTATGTATCTTTGTAGCATTTTCCACCTCATAGCATATTTAAATTACAGTATCAGAAGGTCTGGGAAAGAGAAAGGGGAGGGAGCAAAAAGGAAAATTTGTCTTGATACTGTTGGTGGTATTGCTAATCAGCCTGAGTTTAAATATTAATACTGCATGCTGTGATGTACAAAAATAGATAGGAAACACATTACTGAGAAATTATGCTGTATTTAAATGAATTTTACTTTAGCTAGAAAATTCCATTATTGAAGATTTGAGTTAGTCAAATCTTTATATCATTTTCTTATCAAAACTTGAACTTTAATACTATATTTTGGTTCTCTTGGTATTTTCTTATTTCTAAGTAAACTCCTTAACACTTAATTCTCCAGATTTGAAGATTTGTAAATATGATTACATTGTAAAAGAAAAATCATTGTGTATTAGTTTTAAACAATGTGATATGTGATTGAAATGTGTAAACATATCCAGAGCTGGTGCTGTGGCACAATGGGAGAGCACTTGCACATCATCTTCAAGGCACAAGTTCAAGCACTGAAGAAAAAGGAATAAATAAATGAAAATTTAAAGTTTCCAGAAGAAATATATCAAATAAAAGACTAAAATATTATCATTGTGAATAAAACAATCATAGTTTGCTGGCACTCATTTTACATAAAATGCTAACAATTTTCTTTGATATTACAAATATTGTTGATGCCTACTTAAGTATTGTGAATAGTGAGGAGAAATAAATCTTAAGAACTAAAGAAAAGGAAGACTTGGGAGCAGGCTATTCATTTCAACTGGTAGAATTCCTCCCTTGGGTACCATCCCAGATCCACAGAACCCAGCAACAGTGGAGTATACTTTTAATTCTACTGGAGGAGGGGAATCAGAACTTATGAACAATCTTTCACATCATTCTCATGAGCTAATGGAGAAACGTTTTTCTCCATACTACACAGTGGAGAGAGATAGGAAGTAGGAAAGTTGACCAAATACAATTCATAATGACAAGCAATTCACCTTGTTTCAATAAACCAGAATACCTCACATGTCCTATTGACACTATATTTTGGAGTATTGACTTCAACTTTTTCCTGTCCTATATGATATGTTCCTTCAGGCTTTTTACACAGTTCATATAAGCAAATTTACTTATGCTTTATGTATCACTTTATAAAACATATAAGCAAATATTATGTAAAAGTAGCAATCAATAATTTTTGTGCTAAATCCAGAATGGTTTAAAAGAAAAAGCCTTTGTATTTCTGTATAATTATGTACATGTGGATACAGGCAATGTGTTTTTACCACTAAATGCAGTCACGAAATTTAAAAATCATTGCATGTGAAAGTTATGATTTGGAAACTACTAATGAAATTATGAATTTCCAATGCTCTGCATTCCACTACACATCATTCTAAACTTTTATCTTCCTTCTGATTAACTTTTTATTCCTGATCAAATGGGAACAATCATCACTAGGCTGTCAAATATAACTGAAAAGACTTACATCGTAATAACCATTTCTGATTAATATTGCTCTCAAAGTTCTTAAGGTTTTCAAGCTCTAAGATTCCTTAAGTTCAGGCCCTTCTTAATTCAAGGGCTTAAATATTTTCTCCCAGTAATTTCTTGGTATTGAAATGTGTGAACTCAGTGCCAGTAAGCTCCTTATTATAATTTCAAGTTATTACTTCAGGTCTTTCATCACGTTGTCTTATGTGTGCTTCTTTAATTAAAAGATTTGTTTGTACACATGTAATTCACCTTGTTTCATCTGCTTTCCACAAATTATTTCTTGATTACTGTTAGTTCCTATTTCAGGTTAGATTTGAAGAGATATATTTGAGAAATGCTTTGTAAAAACAATATTTTCATTGAAACACATTTCAGAACATGACTGCACTGTCTGACACTGTGTGACTCTAATAGGTCAATGAAAATATCTCTGCTATTGTTAGGCACTGACAGGTAATGATATGTATTTCCTTAGGATTTTATAAGATCAATGTGCAAATAGTCAGCAAAATGATTTTGCTTTATTACAGGAATAATTGAAGAATGCATGATGATATAAGGTTCCTTTGCTCACAATCAGGTAGCTCTTCTCTTAAAGTCAATGACAGATAATATCTAACACAATTTAAAGCCCTATTTAAGCAGATAGAAGACTTTACAATGAAACAGCAATACCTTGGTACCACACTGTGTAGCAGATATTTCTAAACACTCTGGGGTAGGAGGCAAAATGAAAAAGTATGCTAGCGTTCAATGGCCTCCAGAGTGAATTCAGTACATATGGACATAACATATTAGAAAAGATTACTTTACAATTATAGGAAAGAGAATGCATGGAAATTGGAGGAATTTGTTGATGAAATTTTTGTTTGCTTTAAACTGAAAAATATCTTTATAATTAGCTTAGAAATTCCTTGTGAAATGCAGCTTTGTCTTCCAGATTATAGAAGTCAGCAATACTTAATTACAGACTGTGACTGTGTTGCAGAAGTACAACATCATGTTTTCAGGGTTCTATGAGTCACAGAGTGAGTTCACTATACTATGCAAATATTATAAATATCTAGTCTTTGAGAATAGCATCTTCTCATAGAAGTGATATATAGAGTGTTGAGGAAGCAAACCACAGAAGTAGGTTGCTTTCACTCAAATTCCAAATCTTCTCAAAAACCTAGATTTAATTAATCTTCATGAGCCCAAAATTCCTAAAATGTTGAAGTTTAATAATAACTTTATTTTATAAGGCCATTATGAAAAGGGCAGTTGCTTAATACTTAAAACAAAGTTATATAATAAGTAAGCATACTAGCAAAACACTACACATACGGCATCGGTGAATACATATGTTTTTGTTTTAATAATACCCACCCAGTAGAATACTTGCTATATAATACTGGCACAACTGTACTATGTTCCTTGATTTCATGTATATTATCACTTGACTTTCTAAGTAAATTCCCATTAAATAGAGCAATATTAAGAAAAGTCTCATTTGTTGAAGGAAGATATCATTCCACTGAATATGAGTGCTCCTATCAGGATCACCTGTTACTGTCTGAAGGTACAGTATCTTCTATATTGTATGTATGTATGTATGTATGTATGTATGTATGTATGTAAGTATGTGTTTTCAAGACTGTTAGTAAGATTTCTATAACAAAATGGGTGTTTTATCTCTACAATAAACCATCCAAGTGTGGAACTTGTGTGGAACATTTGTTAATGATAATTAATATGAGAATCAATTCTTTAATGAAAATCTTTGGAGTTAGAAATTGTGCCAGATAATAATTCCAAGTTCACATAAGAAAAGTTTTAGCCCAAAATGGCACCTATACCATAATAACACCATGTATAATTATTCAAAATTATATCTATTTGTAACCATAACAATAGACTCTATGGTTTTGAAGAAGTGATTGTTTGGAATAAACAAAATTACAAATATGACAGGTTTATTGTTTTTCTCAGAAATCCAGGTAACAAAATTAGAGAGGCTTCTTTCTCCTAAATATATCTCTAAATCAGAATCATGAGAATAATCATGTGTGCTCATTTCTTGTAGATTATGCCTAAACAGAAATATACTCTACTTAATTGTTTATAATTTTTAAATTAGTAAGAGAAGTGAGTTAATGTAATTGCAAAGTTTAAAACAATATTTATTTGCTTTGCACATAAAAGTAGAAATTAAATTTCCTCATAGTAAACATTCCTTCTTTATGAGAGCTTTCTTTGAGTCATGCATGTCATTTCCAGTTCAACTATGTATCTTCTTTTGCAGACACATGTCTCTACAGCTGTGACCCCACCACCTTGTGTATGTGCAATTAGCTATTTATTAAGAGGACAGACTCCCCAGAGAGTTTAATAGACACCCTGGATAGGCCATGGTCTTTAAGCTGAAGATACTCATTTCTAGGTGGAAAGATAAAGTATTTATAATAAAAAGGAGTTCTATAATATTGTGTTCAGTGTTTAGTGTCCAATGAGACACATTTAGGAAATATTTCACACAGGAAAAAGTTATTTCTGATGTTTTTGGAAAATTATATTATTACAACTGGATAAAGAAAAGATATGTAAAATGTCATTCCAACAAGCCAGTCATTTTCCCTCATTGAATGTGTTTTCCTATATTTCCCATATATTGGAAGGACTGACATAAGCTAACTACCTCAGTATAAAATAATCTTTATAACATATTTTGCATTATCATCATATTTATATTTAATAATGGATATAGATGAAATGTATCTTTTACATGTACTCATTATATATTTCAAAATCAAAATGGCATATGCAATTATTTCAGTTAATAGATCATTAAGCAAAAATCTAAAGAAAATACTAGAGCCTTCATCCAATAGCTGACACCTGCAGCTAAACACTGAACTGAACTCCTGGAGTCCAGTTGCAGACAGGGAGGAGTGATGAAAAAAGTGGTCAAGACTAGACTGGTAAAACCCACAGAAACAATTGACCTGAACAAGGGGGAGCCCTTGTTCTTGAACCCAAGACTGTTATCTGGGAAACCAGCTTAAGACTGACCCAGATCCCCTGATTTTGGGTGTCAGTTAGGAGGCCTGTGCAATCGATGGAACCTCTGGTAGTAGATTAGTATTTATCCCTAGTACACAAATGGAATTTGGGAGTCCAAGCCACATAGAGAGATATTCTCTCAGTCTAGGCAGATGGGGGAGGTCCTAGATCCTGCTCCAAATGGTATGACAGACTTTCAATATCGCCATGGAAGGCCTTACCCTCCCTGGGGAGTAGAAAAGGGATGGGATAGGGTGGCCAGTGAGGGTGCAGGGGAAGAGGGGAGGGGGAGGGAATTGGGATTGACAGTTAATTTAAAAAAATAGAAAAATATTTTTAGGCACAAATTATGGATCTAAGGCTATATCTCATTGGAATAGTTCTGAGCAGTGTTTGAGACCCTGCAGTTCAGACAATGTCATGCTTATTATGATTATGTCATGTATTACAAACTCATCATGTAGACTATTTCTTTTATTAAAATAGTCTCACTATTCAGATGGAAAAATGTAGGACTTTTGTGCCTCAAGTCCCGTCCCCCATGATTGGGTGTTTCCTGAAAAACACACTCTCAAACTATGGTGGGCATTTTGTTACTTAAAACTTAAATTTCATGTAGTAGAAAAAAATGTAGAATCACAGCCTAGAAAATGAATTAAAGCCCAAAGTTAATTCTGTACCAATTAAATGATTTTGAGAAAGTCATGTAACTCATTTGAGATTGAATGTTCTTATGCGTAGAAAGGAAAGTCCTAAAAATAATCACATCATTTTCTGAGACAAATTTAGAAAGATACTCCAAATTGCCTCTCCAAATTTTGGTTGTTTCATAGCACTGAACACATCAGTGTTCCCATTAGTTCTTGACTTATACTTCACCAAATGTCTCTAAAGAACTCACACTTCTTCAGAATAAAATGTTAGTTGAAATGGCATATTTTAACCATATGCAAATCACAGTAGTTATATGAGGTGTAGTGGCATAGCTATATTTATTTAAATAATCTTATACAGTTAGATGGCATCTTTGAATTGGGACCATACAACATTTTATTCTCTGAATAAAGCTCTTTATACAGCTGCAAAAGTATATACAACACAAACAATTGTGTTGCTCTGGGGAATCAGACAACAATGTTAAAAATGGCAGTTTTGAATTGTAGCTCCCAAGAAAGGTGGCATTTTCAATAAAAAATCTAAGTTTATCTATTTCTTTGGTTATAAAATGGCGTACTTGTATTATAATACAAAAACTATCCAAAAATGAGATCAAAGGAGACTTTCATAGCATTCACAATAATTTATACTTCACTTTTTTAATTGGACATTTTAATGATTAGTTTATGTTAATGATAACTGGAGAATGTCTTCATTTTAAGGGGTAATAATTGTATCAACCCACAGCTTGATCAGCTACACTCAATGGACTAGGAGCAGAGTTTTCTTCATTAACAGGAAATTCTGAAACAATTTTTGTGTTTATAAACAGGCAAATTTTTCCTTCATTAGAAGTGAAGGATCTTCAGTGGTATAGAAGAAGAAGCCAGGTCAGTTTAGTTGAATTTTAACCAGTAAAATAAATGAGACATTTAAATAAAAAAATTTCTGATAAAATGTACAAACAATCACATTCTTCATAAACTAGTGAATGAATGCAAATGGAGGCTTAATTCAGAATATCTGGCTAATATTTACTGAAACCATCATTGAAATACTCATAAATGTTTTAATTAAAATTGTTTTAAACATGATGTTGCTATAGTAAATAAATATTTTAAAATATTATAAAATAATTATATAACTACATAGTGAATTTTTGAAATGTGTACACTCCTTTGGAAACAGCAACACATTGCAAATCTTGTCTGATTCCATATAGTTCAGCCATATTAATATTTACAGTAACCTATAAAATGCATCATGATATAATAATTTTCAAGTTGTAAACAAGAGAGACATAAACACAGACTATATTAGTAATAACCAAAATCTAATGGTAGCTGAATATGGTAAATTAAGTTACTTGGTGAAACATACTTTGTATAGTGAATTTAAAATATTACACTAGTCCTCTCTTGGCTACTCTAAGAGTATTATAATTTATCACAAACAGCATTCTCTAAATTGTGTTTTTTAACAAATATGTTTTGTAGGGTGAACTTCTATAGAAATAATTTTGATCATGTAATTAGCCTACATTATAGAGTAAAAATGCAAATTCTTATATTCTACATCTGCCAAAATAACGTAATTAGAAATGAATGACAGCTTTATCATATTAAGGCATTTCCCATTTTTAAGCTCCAGCAGCAGCCTTTTCTATGGCCCACTGCTTTTGTTCTTGAATACATTTCATGATGCAATGCTATTTACTATCTATGGGTACCAATCATGTCTCCTGCATTAAGAGGAGTGCTTATGCTGTTTATAGCTTTGACCAAATAAACACTAAAAGCCATGTTAGAGTCTTTTGTCTTCCTTTTTTCACAATTTGAGGCACCAACATTAGTTTTTTTATTATTATTCATTCAATTGACTGCTTATAAAAATAATCTTCTTAAAATGCTTAGAAAGCAGATATTTTAAAATAGCTTTTAAATTCATCACTATTATGCTATGGCCATATTTACTAGGCTTGAATGTAGAATATCTATACATTCCTATATTACTTTAATTTTCATGTTAATAGACCTAGACAATTGCCACAGTGGGTATAGTCTAAAGCTTTAAGATTTTTAATAGTTTTACAAACCCGGCTTGAGGATCTAAAGACAGGTCCCTGGGAAACTTCAGCCTTTTGCTAACAAGTACAGTAGGGTACAAGCCATTGAGTTTGGATACTTCAATTATCCTTTTCTCCGTGTCAGACCAATAGAGGTTTTTTCCAATCCAATCAACAGCAAGTGCATTGGGAACAGCAGTGTTATGCACTACCTAGCAAAATAAGAATTTAGAAAGTTAGCAGTATAAATGACTTCAATACGAATCAAGCAATTGTTTCTTGATTTTAATTGAGATAGAGAACTCTATTTAAACTGAAGAAATTAAATTTAGATAAAGAAGAGAACAATTTACCACAACACAATACTTACTTAAGAGAAGTTGTCTAATGTGCATTTGGACTTCTAGAAGTTACATATGCATTTATAGAAAAAATAACCCCCATACAGAAAGATGCTAAGTAGATGCACAGTTGATGAATTCATTTCAATAGTGTTCATCTGCCTATCCTCTCAAACTTTTTGCAAAACTTTATATAACTTATACACACACAATTATTTAAATTTACTTTAACAGTTGCTGTCATAGCTTTGGTAATATTCTCCCCTCTCTCATAAAGCACCCTGCCCTATACAACACTACAGTAAGATACAGGATTACACATTGTTTGAACACAGCCAAGTATACATATAGTTTTACAGTCATCCTTTCTCTAAACAGCCAGTGGTAATGACAACGTGAAGCAGAAGGATTTGATGCAGTCATGGTGCTGCCCTAGTGTTTTGACTATAAGACATATTTACTTCTTTCTTCTTACAAATTCCTAATCTGAAAACTGACATTGCTGACTCTTCACTGAATACCTATGCATAAGTTATCCTGGGGAAAGACAGATGATAATTTTTTTAAATTCAATATAACATGGTTAAAGGAACAATAGAATGAGAATTGGGAGGTGACAGAGATGTAATTAAAAAAAACCTCAGGTATCTTCAAAATATAAAAGAGAACATTATTAAAAACAGTTCTTGCAAGAAAACACATGATTGAATGTGAGTACTGCAACATTCAAAGGTTTTGTGCAAACTTTCAAAATTTACAAAACAACAAAATATGCTCATTTTTTGAATTACAGACACTGATATGCAAAGCCAAACTGCTGTTATAGTCATGGGCTTTATACACTTACCCTGGCTCACAGAAACCTATACCGCATATACATGTACTTTAAGAATTTAGTAATATTTTCAAAACTGTTGCTTCTATGAAAACTATTTACAAGAAAACACCAAAAAGAATTGATGGGTTTCATCTATTTGAAGTTTCTTTTAAATTTCATTTATTTATTTATGGGTACATGTGTGCTTTTATGTACATGTTTATTTGTATGTATACATGTCAGCAGCTGCATGTGTTTATATATGTGCACCACTTGCATGTATGGTACACACAGTGGTCAGAGAGGGCTTTGGGTCACCTGGAACTGGAGCTACAGGCAGTTGTGAGCCAATTTACGTTGGTGCTGGTAACTGACCATGAGTCCTCTGTAAAACCATCAAGTGCTCTTAGCAGCTGAGCCATCTCTTAAGCCCTTAAAAATTTCTGCATAACATATCTTTCAGTATACACACTGAACTAGTATTTTTACTTAAAACATAAGTTAACATTCAAGTGGTACCAAGTAATTCATATATAGAATGTGACTGGTATTTTATTGTGAGATAATAAAACCATTCCTAATTGTACACATGTATATTCAACTATTTCCAGCAAAGGTTATGTTAGCAGCAGGAAATCTTCAATCTACACTCCATTGTTTGTTAAAATTACAAATCTTGTCTAATAATATTAAAATAGAACCTGAAAATAAATCATCTCATTTTACAAATTAAAATACTTATTAACTTTCCCAGAGAAAATATAAACTTGAATTCATACTAATATGCTCTATAGGGAATAATTTGCTATAAATATGGTTTTATATCCTAGTCAATAATATCAAAGAGGTATTCAGCAATGCCATCTATGTATGTATATTTACCTTGATGTCACTTCCATTTAGACACATTCTGTTTATCCGACTTCCATTGGGTCTGCTAGAATCAATCCAATATATGAATTCTTCTCTATAATCAAAGTCAATCGCAATAACGTTGTTTAATCCCTAAAAGTAAGAATGATCACACAATCAATAACACACAGTACTATTTCTAATAGTTATGAACCAGAGAAATTGTTATCTCTCTTTGAATATAAATGCTTTCATATTACTCTAACATTTGTGACAAATATTTAAGGGACATAGTGTCTTTGCACTTACTTCAAACCAGACACTTGAAAGATACATTACTCATTTGAAAATAAAGTCCAATAGCAAACAAAAATTTCCTGATATCTTTTAAATAAACGATAAAAAATTGAAAAAACAAACAAACAACTTTTAAAGAGAGAAGATTAGAGAAAATGAAATCTCTGCCTCTACATGTGTCCAAATTCATGAAGGATCAAAGGTAGACCAAACTATTGAAGCTAATGTGGGAAAACATAATATCAATAAAGCACAAGACCATCCCAGGCACAAATCAGACAAAATTCTAGAATTGAGATTAAGAGTGTACATAAATTCCACCAAGAAGCTCTTTGCAATTGATGCATGCTGGGAGAGGAAAAATCAGCTTGCTTGAATGGAGTGTCATTGGGCTTATCACCTATACTGTGGATAAGGTCCCTTGCCCAGGAACAGTCAGCCAACACAAAATGAGTGAGATTTGTGTGTGTGTGCAAATTTTGTTTGGTTGGTGATTTCTGTCTGATTGGTTTTTGTGTTTGTTATTTACCTATTTATAGAGAAAAAGGCAGAACATGAGTTTGGGTTGCTAAGGAGATGGGGAAAATATGGAGGATTTGGGGAGAGGACAGAAAATGCTCAAACTATATTGCAAGAAAATAAACGTAAATAAAAATACTAGCTTGGCGTGGTGGCATATGCCTTTAATCCCAGCATTCAAGAGGCAGAGACAGGTGGATCACTGTGAGTTCGAGACCAGCCTGGTCTACATGAGCTAGTTCCAGGACAGCCTCCAAAGCCACAGAGAAACCCTGTCTCGAAAAACCAAAAAAAAATACTAAATAACAATTTAAAATGGAAAGAACAACAGTTTCTGGTGAGGATTTAGGGAAGGGGACACCTTAATTCATTGCAGTGAGAATATAAATGATGAGGACAGTTCTAACGATAACCCTAAACTTAATCATACACCCGAAGTCCTCTAACAGTCAGAAGATCCATCTCTACCCCAAACTGGCTTTCTCTTCCTTCAGGACCACCACTATGCTGGACAACTAACTATCGCTTCTAATGCTCTCCTAATTAATGGCTTCACCATGTCTGTTGAGGCTTTGAAACTCTCTCTTAATTTAGCTCATTTTAAGGATAATCTCATTCTAGCTACATTTCTATGACCCTGGAAGTCTCCTCTGTTTGTTTTTCATTCTTACTAAAAGCAGAAGGCCTAGTGAAGCAGAAATGGAGCACTAAGAAAAAGACAGGGCAACATAGGAATAAAATAGGGGGAAGACATGAATAAGAGCAAAGTAATGACATGCCATGTTGAAATCATTATTTGTATGCTAACTTAAAAATTAAATACATTCATAAATGAAATAAATCAAAGCAAATTATTTGGATCCCTATAACAGAGTTATCAAAGGAAGCATAAATGCTTCCTTTTTAACCCAGACTTTTGTCCAAAAATCAGTTATGATGCTATTTCTGATGCTTGTGAAGAACAAGCAGCCCAATGACAGCTCTGTCCTAGTAGGTACCTCACTGTGCATCTCAGTCTATCTGGAAAGCATTCCAAAACCAGCACATGGAATACAAGCACTGGGAGGGAGCATTTCAGTTTGCCTAGGACAGAGAAGAAAAGTAGCTTTCACAGGGATATCATTCAAATTTATGCTGTTGTTTGTGGGGATATTATAATCCATACATATAGTTTCAGAACACAAAAGCCATGTAAACACTAGTGTGAGTCTCCCCAAGATTCATTCTCTGCTTTCATTCTTCCACTCCTCCTGACGCAGTATCTTGGAGATTGTCCAACCATGTTTTTGATTGAAATTGTTCCCAAATTCATGAGCAGCTGTATTTTTAAAGTAGAAGGGAAAGCAAGGAAAGAGCTATCTTAATTTGGGGAGTCATTATAGTGCTAGAGGGAATCATTACAGGGCTAGTGAGAAAACTGGCACTAAGGAAATGCCCGGGAATCCACAAAGATTACCTCAAGCTCCTAAGCATTAGTGTAGAGGGTATCAGAACCAGCCTTGCCCTGTAATAAGATTGATGACTATCTAAATTACCATCATAGAACCTTCTTCATCAGGCAACAGAAGGAGGCATATGCTGAGATCCACAGCTAAGTACTCAGCTGAGCTCCCAGAGTCCAATCTAAGAGAAGGAGGAGTGATAATATGAGCAAAGGGATCAAGGCCATTTAGGGGATACCCACGGAGACAGTTGACCTGAGCTAGTGGGAGCTCACTGACTCAGAACTGACAGCTGGGGGACCCCCATGGGACTGAACTGGGCCCTCTGAATGTGGGTGACAGTTGTGTGGCTTGGGCAGTCTATGAGTAGTCTGAAAGTGGGACCAGGATTTATCCCTATTTCTTGAACTGGCTCTTTGGAACCCATCATCTTTGTAGTGATACCTTGCTCAGCCTGGAAATAGAGGAGAAGGTCTTGGTCCTGCCTCAAAGAGATGGACCAGACTTCCTTGACTTGACATGGGAAGGTTTACCCTCTCTGAGAAGTAGATGGGTGATGTGGAAGGGAGGTGGGGGGAGCCGCAGGAGGAGAGAGAGAACTTATTTTGATATATAAAATGAGAAAGATTTTTTAAATATAAAATTATGCCTAAATAAATAAATGTAACCTCCCAAAAGAAAAAAAAGATAAAATCTGTTTATGAATATTTGTTATGAATTATATATCAAATCTGAAAATATATTACTTTAAAAGGAAAGTTAAGAATAAATAGAAGAGGGAAGTAGCTGTCCCTCTGGCATCATCAGGTAAACAGGCCAGCTTCCCGGCCTGTGTTCCAGAGCCTGCAGATCGCCTGGGAACTGCACAGAGCTCCCAATCCCGGCGGGAGCATCAGGTAAACAGGCCAGCTTCCCGGCCTGTGTTCCAGAGCCTGCAGATCGCCTGGGAACTGCACAGAGCTCCCAATCCCGGCGGGAGCCAAGCACCCCACCTCCAGATCTTCTCTCCCACCAACGATTCCAGGAAAGGAGAGGAGGCTGGGCGCACAGGGAAGTAGCTGTCCCTCTGGCATCATCAGGTAAACAGACCAGCTTCCCGGCCTGTGTTCCAGAGCCTGCAGATCGCCTGGGAACTGCACAGAGCTCCCAATCCCGGCGGGAGCATCAGGTAAACAGGCCAGCTTCCCGGCCTGTGTTCCAGAGCCTGCAGATCCCCTGGGAACTGCACAGAGCTCCCAATCCCGGCAGGAGCCAAGCACCCCAGACTCCAGATCTTCTCTCCCACCAACGATTCCAGGAAAGGAGAGGAGGCTGGGCGCACAGGGAAGTAGCTGTCCCTCTGGCATCATCAGGTAAACAGGCCAGCTTCCAGGCCTGTGTTCCAGAGCCTGCAGATTGCCTGGGAACTGCACAGAGCTCCCAATCCCGGCGGGAGCATCAGGTAAACAGGCCAGCTTCCCGGCCTGTGTTCCAGAGCCTGCAGATCGCCTGGGAACTGCCCAGAGCTCCCAATCCCGGCAGGAGCCAAGCACCCCAGACTCCAGATCTTCTCTCCCACCAAAGAGACCAGGAAACTACAGGAGCCAGGGAGACCAGGGGAGTAGCTGTTCCGGATCAGGTACAACAGGACCCAGCATAGGGTCCAGGGGACCAGGTAGGAGGCTAAGCGCCCCAGATTCCTGTTCTTCTTCTCTACCCACGGACCAGCATTTGGACAAGGCATAGAAGAACCACCAGATTACTGGACTTACTAGCACCCACCAAAAGGGAACTCTGGTCCCCAGACCAGGAAGGGGCTCTTTCTGCACCCACTAAAAGAAGACATGGGAAAGAGACAATACAAAAACACAGTCAGCAACAGAAAAACAAATATGACACCGCCCGATTCTAGAGACTCCACACCAGCAAGACCCCAATATTCCAACGCGAAGGAAGCAGAAGAGAACGATCTTAAAAGCACTTTCATGAAAATGATAGAGGCCCTAAAAGAGGATATTGGAAAATCCCTCAAAGAAATGGAAGAAAAAACAAACCAAAAAATGCAAGAAATGGAAGAAAAAACAAACCAAAAAATGCAAGAATTGGAAGAAAAAACAAACCAAAAAATGCAAGAATTGGAAGAAAAAACAAACCAAAAAATGCAAGAATTGGAAGAAAAAACAAACCAAAAAAGGCACGAAATGGAAGAAGAAATGAAGCAAAAAATGCAAGAAATGGGAGAAAAAGCAAAGCAAAAAAATGCAAGAATTAGAAGAAGAAACATACCAAATAAGGCAGGAAATGGAAGAAGAAACAAAGCAAAAAAATGCAAGAAATGGTAGAAAAAACAAAGCAAAAAATGAAAAAAATGGAGGAAGAAACAAACCAAAAAAGGCAGGAAATGGAAGAAGAAACAAAGCACAAAATCCAAGAAATGGAACAAAAAGCAAACCAAAAAATGCAAGAAATGGAAGAAAGAACAAACCAAAAAATTCATAAAAGGCAACAAACGGACGAACAGATAAACAGAAAATTGCAAGAAGCAATGCAAACGCTGCAAGGGTTGAAAACTGAAATAGAGACACTAAAAAAAACACAATCTGAAGAAAGACAGAAAATAGAAAAGCTGGACAAACAGTCAGGCACTACCAATACAAGCATTACCAACAGAATAGAAGAGATGGAAGAGAGAATCTCAAGTGTTGAAGATACATTAGGAGAAATGGATTTATCAACCAAAGAAAACCTTAAGTCCAACAAATCCTTAACACAAAACATCCAGGAATTATGGGACACCATGAAAAGACCAAACCTAAGAATAATAGGTATAGAAGAAGGAGAAGAAATCCACCTCAAAGGGGCAGAAGGCATATTCAACAAAATCATAGAAGAAAACTTTCCCAACCTTAAGAAAGA